TATTATTATTATTATTATTATTATTATTGTTATTGTTATTGTTATTGTTGTTGTATTATTGTTATTTATAATTTGTACAAATAACCTCCCTGTGGTTCGACCCCGGTCTTGCCGGGTTATTTATTACTTCGACACTCCTGCACTTGGGAGAAGACAACAATCTTTTAGTCGTGTCATTGCTACCGTCACCTTAGCCCTTTTTCTAATCCTACAAATAAAGTAAGCGTACTACATTACTATGAATTTGTGTTTGGTTTAGTTGAAATGAAATAATTGTGTAGGTTGAATTTAGAGTTTGTTGAATTACTGATAAATTAGTTATGAATACAATCAATTAGTATTGATTTTGTATAGTTAAACATGAAAATAAGTAAAATTAATTGCGAATTAATTATGTGTTATTTTTAATTTTGGATAAGTTGTGAAGTTAGGAATTTTGTGTGGATTGTTGGAGTCATCTAATAATGCTATCAACTATGCTTGATGATTTCATGCAATAGAGCATAAATACGATAGAATTATGATGAATTACATCTTGCATTAAATTGTTGATAAGATGTTGAATTTGGTATTTTCTTTAAATTATTTTAATTTGCTATGAATTTGGGTTTGATTTAATGTAATTGAACATGAAAATATCAATTAGATTTGATATCATGAATTATATTTAATTTTGATCCAGTATGCTTTTGTGTTATATTTTTAGGATTTGATTGAATTTGCTATGAATTTTGCCAATTAGGTTTGGGGTAATGCAATTTAGTTAAGATTATGTCTAACTGACTATAATCTAATTTGTTTTTTCTACATAATGTCTGATAACATATTTATGTTATGTTATTATGGTGGTACCATTGCTCTTAATATGAATAGTAGTATCATATACAATGATAGAAGCAATTTGTTGTTAAATGGTAATGTAGACATGTCATACACGGATATGAAAGAAATATTTTTTCATGGACTTGGGTGGAATTATAATAATATTTATGTTGAAATAACTTGAAGGTCTCAAATTAGTAAACATCAATATTATCTTGTACCGATTGTATGTGAGATAACAATTGATTCTTTCATCCAAAGTAGGTTAAACATAATAGTATTATGAGTGATTAGTTGAATAAAATCTTTATATATAGGAGTAAAAATAATTTATTGTTGGATGATTTGTTATAAAGAATTAATGATACTATAGGCACTTAGTCATAGACTTCTGCTAGGAGGGTCAGATTTGGAGGTGGAACAAACATTCAAGTTTAAAAATGAATTGGCTAATACAATTAAATAATGGCACAGTGCATATTTAGTTGAATACAAACTCCAACTGTCGAACTTTATATTTGTTCAATTATAATATAAGAGTTTAGAAAGGCCTTATGATTTAAATTAACAATCGGGTAGTTTACAAAAAAAATATAAATGCATAAGTGGTAAAATTATAAATAGAGGCAACTCACTTTTTTAAGTAAGCTAGAACAACCTAAAACATCCAGCAGCAATAGAGTTTCATTTATTCATCTTTTCATTTGAAATTTTTTAGAGAAAATACCTAAATATAGTAATATTTGACTGAAATCTAGTGGGTTTTTTTAAAGAAAAATATCATAACCTATTTTTGAGTTATTGCTCATAATTTTTATCTTTTTTCTTTTCAAAATAAAATAATAACAATAATAAGACTAGTATTTTGGCAAAAGTAAGCTGATAATACTTCAAATGTAAAAAAAAAAATCAAACTGCAATTTTAAATGGAATCAAGAGCCTAATTGTACCTTATTTTACCTAAAAATAGAGAGACAATGCAAATTCAAGGTTAGGTTACATGATTATTGGATGAATCAGCATAAAAATTAAGCCTTAAGACATAATTAGATTTTTAAAATGCTAGTTTATTCAAATCATAGGCCAAATTAAAGTTTAATTATGTTTAAGAATTAATTCAAGTCTAATTCAAGGATTTAATTAGGTGTAAAGACTTAATTATATTTTAAATGGGTGAAATTAATTTTATTAGGGGCTTAATTGGTGAAGAATTAAGTTCAGGGGTCTAATTTGGGTTTAATTGAGAAGATTGAAATTTTATGACACCAAATTCAATTTTTACAAAGTCAATTGGTTCAAATCAAGGGTTAAATCACAAGAAATCTAAGTTTTGGGGTAATTAAAGGCTAAATTGAATAAATTTACAACCAATGATCATTTTACAAAAGGCGTTGAACTATGGGTACTCGATTGATTTTAAATTAGGGGTGAAATTGAAAAAAATTAAAAGTTAATAGTGAATTGAGGGTCAAATTGCTTAAATCCCAGACCAATTAGTAATGTGAAAAGGATGATGAAATTTGGGGCTGACATTGAATTTTTACAAGGATAAAATTGTATAAAATTAAAAGTTTATGGTCAATTAAGAGTGTAGTTGAAAGAACTTAAAAGATCATGGACCAAATTAAACTTTAG